GCCATGAAGTGCAGGTTTCTTTCATGTAATTGCTGCTGGCAGCGCGGGCAAGGTATGGTTTCTCCTTTTCACGGGTTATTCCCCCAACTCGGTTCTTTTCGTTGGGCATCCGTGGCCTCACCAAGTTGTTCTGGTTTTCACGTGAGCCACGGTGGATGCTCAGTGCCAAGCGTGGGAAGCAGTCGTGACTGCGCAACTTGATGCCGAGTCCAGGCTGTCGGAGGGCCGATAAATCTAGCTGACGATGAGCGAGGCTTGCGCAGGGTTTGCCGCGGTGTGTCATAAAGCTTGCAGCAGGCACTCACGTGACCTTCAGCGAAACCCTTTCCGACCCCTGGCAAGGCTGTTTGCCCTCCTTGATTTGCTTGGGACATGTGGGCAGCGCTGTCCTCGCAAGATGCAGGGTGCGCGCTAGCAGCTGGGCGCTTGGTTGAGTGGCAGATTTCCAACACGGCAGCTTTGGCTTGGTGCCCAAAATGGGAGGCTACGGTCATAACTGCGCAACGCAAATGGAACGTGGGTCCACGTGCATATCTCACACATTTTACCTGTCTGATTTTCGCAAATTCTAGGCCACGAAATGGCTCTAGAATGTGGTGGAGTTTCTCTTGTGTAGACCGAACCCCTCATTCTCCACGTCCCAACTCAATGGATACCGCCTGACTTTCGGTCGCTTCCAGGGCACCCTTTGCACAACTCTTCCGCAGGGTCCAGTGTTGATACAGGGTCCAGGCTGTTGGAGGGCCGATAGATCTAGCTGACGATGAGCGAGGCTTGCACAGGGTTTGCCGCGGTGTGTGCGGGTCATACAGCTTGTAGCAGGCACTCACCTGCGCAACTCAAAATGGAACGTGGGTCCATGTGCATGTCTCACAGAGGTGACCTGTCTGATTTTCGCAAATTCTAGGCCACGAAGCGGCTCTGGGTTCTGCATTTTGGGTTGTTTCCTAGCACTTTGGGTTCTGCATGGGAGAAGCTGGGCGCTTGGTTGAGTGGCAGAATTCCCACACGGCAGCTTTGGCTTAGAACTGCGCAACTTTCGGAACGTGGGTCCATGTGCTTCGCTCGCAGAGAGATTACCTGTCTGTACCAGCGCTCACTTTCGCAACTTCGCTTTTTCTAGGCCACGAAATATTGACCTCGGCTCTGGAATGTGGTGGAGTTTCTGACAGGCGAGACTTGTAGACCGAACCCCTCATTCTCCACGTCCCAACTCAATGGATGCTGCGGTGTGTGCGGGTCATAAAGCTTGCAGCAGGCACTCACGTGACCTTAAGCGAAGCCCTTTCCGACCCCTGGCAAGGCTGCTTGCCCTCCTTGATTTGCTTGGGACATGTGGGCAGCGCTGTCCTCGCAAGATGCAGGTTGCGCGCTAGAAGCTGGGCGCTTGGGCTGTCCTCGCAAGACGCAAGGTGCGCGCTAGAAGCCGGGCGCTTGGTTCAGTGGCAGATTTTCCAACACGGCAGCTTTGGCTTGGTGCCCAGAATGGGAGGCCACGGTCATAACTGCGCAACTCAAAATGGAACGTGGGTCCATGTGCGTGTCTCACAGAGGTTACCTGTCTGATTTTCGCACGAACCGGCTCTGGGTTCTGCACTTTGGGTTGTTTCCTAGCACTTTGGGTTCTGCATGGGAGAAGCTGGGCGCTTGGTTGAGTTGCAGAATTCCCACACGGCAGCTTTGGCTTAGAACTGCGCAACTTTCGGAACGTGGGTCCATGTGCTTCGCTCGCAGAGAGATTACCTGTCTGCACCAGCGCTCACTTTTGCAACTTCGCAAATTCTAGGCCACGAAACATTGACTTGGGCTCTGGAATGTGGTGGAGTTTCTGACAGGCGAGACTTGTAGACCGAACCCCTCGTTCTCCACGTCCCAACTCAATGGATACCGCCTGACTTTTGGTCGCTTCCAGGGCACCCTTTGCACAACTCTTCCGCATGGTCCAGTGTTGATACAGGGTCCAGGCTGTTGGAGGGCCGATAAATCTAGCTGACGATGAGCGAGGCTTGCGCAGGGTTTGCCGCGGTGTGTGCGGGTCATAAAGCTTGCAGCAGGCACTCACGTGACCTTAAGCGAAACCCTTTCCGACCCCTGGCCAGGCGGCTTGCCCTCCTTGATTTGCTCGGGACATGTGGGCAGCGCTGTCCTCGCAAGATGCAGGGTGCGCGCTAGAAGCTGGGCGCTTGGGCTGTCCTCGCAAGACGCAAGGTGCGCGCTAGAAGCCGGGCGCTTGGTTGAGTGGCAGACTTTCCAACACGGCAGCTTTGGCTTGGTGCCCAGAATGGGAGGCCACGGTCATATCTGCGCAACTCAAAATGGAACGTGGGTCCATGTGCATGTCTCACAGAGGTTACCTGTCTGATTTTCGCAAATTCTAGGCCACGAAACGGCTCTGCGTTCTGCACTTTGGGTTGTTTCCCAGCACTTTGGGTTCTGCATGGGAGAAGCTGGGCGCTTGGTTGAGTTGCAGAATTCCCACACGGCAGCTTTGGCTTAGAACTGCGCAACTTTCGGAACGTGGGTCCATGTGCTTCGCTCGCAGAGAGATTACCTGTCTGCACCAGCGCTCACTTTTGCAACTTCGCAAATTCTAGGCCACGAAACATTGACTTGGGCTCTGGAATGTGGTGGAGTTTCTGACAGGCGAGACTTGTAGACCGAACCCCTCGTTCTCCACGTCCCAACTCAATGGATGCCGCCTGACTTTCGGTCGCTTCCAGGGCACCCTTTGCACAACTCTTCCGCAGGGTCCAGTGTTGCTACAAGTGTGGGCCCTTCGGACCCTGCCCCGGCATAAGGTTCCCGAACACAAAGAAACAGCGACGCAACGATGGCAAGCTAATCGCTGCTTCAGCACGCAGGCTAGCTAGCCCCATTATGCATGTGCTGGCCAGGGTTTGTTTTTTCCGCATTGGTCCCCAAGCTGCCTAATAAGTCTGGTAAATTTACGCCGTGGATTGCTTTTGGCGATGTGAACTTCAGCGTCCCAGCAGGCAGTGTTGTTTGGCAAGTTCACTGGGACATTGGTCCGCTTTAATAACGACGCTAAAGCAGAAGTCCAGGCGAAAATCAGCGCGCAAGTGTCGCACTCGTGTCCCGTAGTCAAGAGCAGGCAACCCAATAAATGCCGGCCCTAAGGGCATCCCAGCCTCATTGCAGAGATGCTGGCAAAATTTCAGGGGCATGGCCAAATACTGCCTCGCGAGCACATGGGGACGCTAACAGAGCCTCAAGGGGCTAGCAGCATCCAAGATGTGGCACCAGGTCTGCCTCTCACAAGGGTGAGCAATGCCATCAATTCGCAAACGTGCAGAGCATTTCCTTGGATCTTGCCTGAGCGCGCGGCGCATTTGAAACGTTGCGGGGCATTACTTGGGGAGCCGGCAGCGTCCCAGACGAACGGTGGACTTTGCACATGCGCACCACCCGTAGCATTTGAAGCACATGACATTTTGTTCGGCGCCTTCGCGTGCTAGAAGCGCCTGGGTGCGTTGCTAGGCGCGTTCAGTGTTTGAGCACACATTGCAGAGTATTTGCTTGATCCTGTTGAGCTGGCAAGGGCAGAGAACCAAAGTGCGCCAGGGTGTTGACGGTAGCATCGACGCATTGAGCGGTACGAAATCGTTGCGGCGGCGGCCTCCGAGACGCGGCGAGGCGGGCGGAGTCCGTTACGGATGCAGGTTTTGCACTTGCCTAGAGTCTCCTTCTGACCCGAACAAAAAATGGGTCCATGACCCCCAAAATAATTGGGTAGTGACCAACCATTTTTGAAGGGTCATGGAGACTCCAGGTACTGGCAAGCGTCCATGTCTGCAACAGGTGATTTAAGCCTTAGATCCATGCAGTTGACTCTTTGGCGGTGGTTTCACTGCTCAGTGGGTTTTGGATGTGGTTTATCCCACGGTGTGACAGCTGCCAAAAAGGGTAAGTTGCCCGAATAGCATTGCTGTTGGCGGCCGATGAATTTGCTACGGCTCCAGCGAAGCTGGTTCGACCCGCAAGGCTTGCGCAGGATTCCCAGACACTTCAATGTTGGTGCTATTTGCCAACATTCGCGAGCGCCTTTACGTGGACCTTTCGAAATGCAGATTTTGGCATTAATGTGGCCGGATCAGCAGTGACTCTGCCACTTACGACTCCTGCTGATGGTGAGCAGCCTCAAGGGAAGCGGGGCCGCAAGGCTTTTGCAGGATTTGCAACGGCTTGCCCCGGTTCAGAAGCCTTCCCATCCAACCGTGTCTGCAACAGCCCCTCGGAACAGTTTATTCAAGCCCTGTCGTTGGATGTTTTCAGATTCGGACGGGTGTCCTTCTCAAATGCAAGAACGCAGCTATGCAAAGCATGCGCGTGAAGGACTTACTGCGAAAATACTGCCAACGTTGCCAGCGACCAGATTGGAATTGATGGGGGCAAAGCTGTTGGACTGTGGCCGATTAGTTTGTTCACGTTTGTCGCTATACTTTTGTGAAAAAACAGCATCACAGGTTGCAAAGCCAGCCGGAGGCACTCACGTGACCTGTAACGACCTTTCTCGGCCCCGCCACACACTGCTAGAAGCGCATTCTCAAACTGCGAGAGGCAGCTTTGCTTGCCGGCTCAATGTTGGTCGATTCTCTATGCACCACATATGTGCGGAGACCTCGAGATAGGTGCGGATTTGGGCGTATGTGGAGTCTCGGGCACAGCTGGCAAGCCACCGAGCCAGCTCTGGGCTCAGCTCAGAATCAGGGTCGAATCTGATTTTATCTCGAATTGCCGGCTCTTCGGCGAATGTTGCGCCGGGAAGCCCATCCAACTTTCAGATGTCTTGGCAGCACAAGCCTTTCCATGTCTGCAACAGCCTCTCGGAACAACCTGTTCAAAACCCCGTCGCTGGATTCTCACAGATTCAGATGGGGACTGTTCTCTGGGTACAGCATGCGCGTGAGAGACCCCCCCCCTGACAGGAATGTCCACCTTTCCAGCTTGTGGCAGGATTAGAATTGAGTGGGGCAAGGCTGTCAGAAGATCTGCTCGCGCAGCCACAAGGTTTTTGCAGGATTTGCCACAGCATTGGCGTCGGTCGTAAGCCAGGGCTCTCGCATCACCTCTAACGACCTTTCTCGGTCCCGCCATGCGCTGTAGCGCCTTGTCAAACTGTGAGAGGCAGCTTTGCTTGCCGCTGAATGCTGGTCATTCTGGGCATATGTCAGCTCGGGCACCCAACCTTGGCCAGATTCGCACGGTGCTACCGCCCCGATGAGTAAGGCTTGCGCAGGATGTGCCGCGGCACTTGCTGTGAGCATATCACGGGTCGCAACGCCTGCAGCAGGCATGCTTACGTGACCTTCAGCAATGTTTGCCCTCCTTGATACGCTTGGAACGTCTGGGCAGCGCTGGCCAGCTCTTAACATGCAGGGTTGTGCAAGCTAAAAGCTTGGCGCTTGGTTAAGTGGCAGAATTGTGCCCAAAATGGGAGGCTACTGTCATAACTGCGCAAGCTAGCGCGTGGCCACCTTAGCAAGCATGCGCCGGGGTAAGGCTGTTGGACTGCCGATAAATCTGCTACCGCCCCTGCTGAGGATGAGTAAAGCTTACGCAGGATTTGACGCGGCGCTTGCTGCGAGCGTATCACGGGTCGTAAAGCCTGCAGCAGGCACTCACGTGACCTTCAGCGAAGCCCTTTCCGACCCCTGGCAAGGCTGTTTGTCCTCCTTGATTCGCTTGGAACATGTGGGCAGCGCTGGAAGCTCTCATTCCGGAAAACCAAACTCAAGTTTTGGGCGATGTTGAACTGTTTGGGCATATTTGGTGTCGGTTCGGGAGCCAGCGCGTGGCTGGATCTGCAGTGGCTCTGCCAATTACAGCTTCTGCTGATGCGCAGCCTCAAGCGAAGCTGACTGGGGCCGCAAGAGTGCTTGTGCTCCACAGATTCCTTCCTGTGCCTCAGCTGCTCGCGCTGCCGATGATGAGCAGCCTCAAGCGAAGCTGACTGGGGCCGCAAGGCTGTGACAGGATTTGCAACGGGCGCATTCGAAACGTTGCGGGGCATTGGCCTGGTGAGCCGGCAGCGTCCCAGATAAACGGCGGACTTTGCACATGCCATTTCATTCGGCGCCTCCGCGTCTGGAAGCGCCTGGGTGTGTTGCCAGGCGCGTTCAGCGGGCAAGAGCAGAATGTAATGAATCTCTTGACAAAAAGCAGATGCTGGCAGAGTGTTGCCGGTAGCATCCCAGACGCATTGATTGGTAATTATCTTGACACCATCGGCTCTGCCCCAGCGGCAGCCTCCTTGACGCATCGCGAGGCGGGCGTTGGAGTGCAAAGCGCGGGCAGCCTCGCACATGCGCTGCTGACCTCGAACACGCGGGGGACTTGCATTTGCATTTGACAAAGTCAATGCATTGTAGCTCTCGTGCAGCCGCACGCGCAGCGGCCGTACGTGCCGCAGCGCTGTACTGGTGCACACTGCAGTTGGCATTCGCGGCCCAGGGTCAGTGGAACGTGTCTCACCTTGCAGATGGCAGCTTCAGAGAAACAGCGCGCGCGGGCTTGCTTTTCCAATCTTTCGGGCTGTTTTTTGGTCATTGGCCACACTTTTTTGGGTCACGGCAAGCCGCTATGAAGCCCGTGTGTAGCTTCAATACAGAATGTTTTGTCTTTTCCAGAGTGTACGATTAAAACCTTCGCTTTTGGCGCGGCTGGGGCCGCCCCCCCTCAACATTAAAATGGCAAACAGGATATTGGAGGGTCCGCCTCTCAGCCCCAGTCTGGCCAGTCCTCCTTGAACCTTTATGTCTGAAGTCTTGTGCAGGATCTTGACAGGAATTTGTTGCAGGACCCCTTTGAGGATCCTGTAAAACAAGCTTTCAACCAAGGTTGAAACATACTTCTTGCTTATGATGCATGTATAGTGAAACATGTATATTCAAAGGCTTGATGCGCAAAAGGTAGGTCATTCGGGGAGGGCCCAATACACAGTATATATATATATACACATATGTGTACAGATACTTTGACGCCTCCAGCTCAGGCTGCCAACATTGCGGGCCCGCTTTCTTATTTGCGTCCTTTTGGGTTTGTCCCATTGGAAGTTGTCCTTTGGATGTTTCCCATCACCATTGCAATTATTCCATTGGACTTCTCCCTTGCGCTTTTCTCCCGGCAAGATCTCGTCCCCTCTTCCACCCTAAGATCTTTGCCCCCCTTCCCCCCCTCCCTCTAAGATCTTCCCCCCTACCCATGTCTGCAACAGGTGATTTAAGCCTTAGACCCATGCAGTTGACTCTTTGGCGGTGGTTTCACTGCTCAGTGGGTTTCGGATGTGGTTTATCATCTGGTCCAGCCAGCGTGGGCCGATTAGCATTGACTGGGGTCTGGGCTGTTGGACTGCGGCCGATGAATCTGCCACCGGCTCCAGCAAAGCTGGTTTGACCCGCAAGGCTTGCGCAGGATTCCCAGACACTCCAATGCTGGTGCTAATGGCCAACATTCGCGAGCGTTGCCCTGAGAAGGTACATTAGGCTTTATTAAGGCCAATGTTGCTCTGAGAGGCATACGTCATACGTCAAAATGTTGGTACAACTCTCAAGCGAGCAACTCACGTTAAATCACGGCAAGTCAAGGTAACACATGAACGTATCCTATCCCAACTTTGGCATACGCTTCGCGAATTGCCGCCATTTCGACGCGTATTTCCGCTATTTCGACGCGTATTTCCACCATTGTTTTGGAATCCAAATTTCATGAGCATGCACTGGTACATTTGATGTTTTCAATTAAATTCCAAGTCCGAACTCCTTCGTCTAGCAACTTGACATTTCCTTCCTAAGTTTAGGGCAAAAATCAAAAACAAATCAACCAAAGCATGCCTGCAAGCTTGACATGGCAAATAAGGTCCAATATTGGGCACAATCATGCCAAAATTGAACAGGAAGGCCTTGCCTGCATTCATACGTGCATTGCTCACTAAAATGCTTGGTGTTTTCTCGCTGGGCAAACGTGCGTGCGTATTGCATCGTGACCGAGCTTGCATGATTCTTCTTCTTCTGCCGGGGAAGGCAGATAGCATGAGCCATTGTGATGCTAAATGGCTCCATAGGAGCTCGTCCGTCATCGTTGCAATGATTCACGCAAAGTGAAAACACAGCACTGCGCAGGGCAAGATCATGCGTCTGTGCCCGTTCCATGCGACATGCCCAATAAGATGCTTTGGCCCAGCACGAAGCTGATGCCCTCCCTCGATTGAACTGCTGGCGCCTGCCCTGTATGGCAGAGCCAGATACTCAAGTTCTTCAGGCCTGCGCCTTAAGTCCCAAGCGAAGACCCAAAGCAGCCGAGTGTGTCCACCTCCGCATGAGCCCGTTCCCCATGCGACACATGCCCAAGTATAAGTATACTTGGATCGGCTGTGTGCTTACTAGTGACTTAGCATGGTTATGAAGGTTAGCTAACCACTGGTAACAAGTTAGCTAAGTAGTTAACTAAGTGTTTCCTAAGTAGTTAGCTAAGCTTGAACATTAGACTTTAGTCAGCACTCAAGCTCAAATATATAAGCCCGGGAAAGTTGCAAATTTCCTTAGAGAGCAGCCTTCGGAGCCTGACAAGCACATTGAGAACAATAGGAAAAGCCTATGAAGGCTGAGCCAAAAAGCCTGAAAAGGCTGACAGCCTCCCAAGGCTGAATGCCATTGTGTAGCCTGAACAGGCTGACAGCACATGTCTCAAGCCTGAAAAGGCTGAGCCTGGCATGAGTCAACAAGAGCACTGCAGCAATAAGCCTGGAAAGGCTGACAGCCGATGCAAAAGTACATTGCTGTTTTGCAAGTTGGCCCCGTCATGCATTTCACGGCCTGTGGGCCCAAGGCACCAGCACCCTCAGCCCATCTTTGCTGGGGCAAAAGGCGACAGGTGTCAGCAAGTCTGCTGTTTGCACCAGAATCAGCTCACCTGTTTCTTTGACCAAGGCTGAGCAAGTCTTTGCACAGTATTCCACAAGAGTAAAGGGAGAAACAATACTGTACACAATACTGCCCACTTGGAAATGCAGGGAGATGGCTGCAACCTCCCAAGCTTGGCCCTGCTGGCTGCCAGCCATGAGCACAACATCCTTTGCCTGACAAGAAGCACCAGTTCGCAGCTTGGCTTGGTTGCCCACATGGATGCAGTCATCTGCAGGCATGCCCATGCGCAAGGTCATGCAAATGCGCAGGGCCAGCTTCTTGTTGGCAGCGCGAGGCTTCGTTAGGCATGCACCCTGCTGCCACTGCTGGAACACTGCGGTGTGCTTCAGTGAGTGCAAATCATGCGCAAGGACGTCCTCCAAGATGCTTTGCTCATAGACAGACAAATTTGTGGTGGCAGTGGCATATCGCGAGCATACTTTGTGCTTTCTTTCCAGTGACCAGCAAGAGGGCAAAACGCCATGCAGCTGCAGTGTGTTGCTAGATGCAACAGCCAGTGAAACTTTCGTGTAATGTAATTCAGAAGCTTGTAGTAGTTCCAAGACCCGATTCATGCTGAGGAATGCTTGGCATTCCAGCACATGGCTGCCCTTGGGCACGAACACATGCGCGGCCAAAAAAGCAAGAAGAGGGCATAAGCTCAGTGTTTCTGACGCGCTGCACTTGAACTCCTTGGCTTCCTTGTAGCTTTTGACCTTCGCCAGCCTTTTGCCAAGTAGCCGGCAAGGTCCACAGCTTCAAGTAAGTCTCCATACTTTCCCAACCCAGTGTTGCACACAGCAGGTATATCATTACTTGCATAACCCCCTGTGAAGCCATTGCGTGCATCCAATCGTGGCACCACTGGCTGATTGGCTGCAAGATGTTCTGGTCCAACAGCTGTCTGCACAAAAAAAGCGAATGCTGGTCGTGTGTGACTCCACACGCCTGCTGCCAGTCATCAAATGCTCTCTTGCTCATGGCCGACTGGTTGGCAGCACACCTCTGGTAAGCCTGCAGCACTTCCTGGTTTGTTGCAAGCTGACATTGTGAAAGGGTACACACATCAGACCCGAGCATGTCATTCTCATCCTCAAGTTCCTCTTGAAGAGGTGCTCTGACATTTCGGCACATCACGCAAAATTTGCTTCCTGAATCTCCTTTGCAGCTGTATATGTACTTCATTGCACTGCCATCAGCCAGGAACATTCCGAATTTGAAAAACAGCCTGATGTTATGATTTGGCTCATGTTAGCCTGCACAGTGTGGGCAGTAGAAGACCTCACACACCCGAGTAAGAACCAGTTGTCTTCTGAGGCCAGGAGCTGCTTCAGCTGAAGGAATGGGCCATATATCACCCAAGCTTTCCTCTCCTTGATAGCCCTCCCAGCAAGAAAGCATAAAGCACCCCTACAACATTGGCTGCACCCTGTGGCTCAACAACACAAAAATCAAGAACAGCTCCATGCTGG